TACAGTACAGCTTCCCCCTGCTCGCAGATGCCATGGAGACTCTGGTCTGTTTACATTTGCGGGACAAGTGGCACGAGGAAGCCCCAAAGGAGCACTGCACCCTTCCGGGCATGCGCACATCCGAGAGTCTTTCACCACCGCAATTTGGGATACTAGGAGCAGTCAGTTCAAACGACATCGCACCGTACTCCTGACTGGCATTGGTCCGAGTGCCTGGAAGCGAAAGAGTGCTGTCGCGCCAGGCCCCGCCACGGTCTTGGACATCAGGTTGGTATCGAACCTCTGTGCCAAGCGTGAAGAAAAGGACAAACCCTCGCAATTTTGAACCATGATTTCACCGGGTTGAATTGCTGCCGGGCGCGGGCACGGACTTTTCCTTCCAAATGTGCTGGAATATCACATGAGGAATACCTCTCCTGGAGTCCCGGAGGAAACGAATCAACTGCATCGGCAAATGCGGGTGTGTGGCGGGTACGGTTGACCTTCGTCTCCATGGTGATCCTGCTCAGCATTTAAGCGCATGTGCTAGCGGCTGTTGGAGCTCACAGCAGGTGAACAAACAAGGCTGCGAATCCTGCTCTTCGGGACAGCTGAAAAGCCTACACAACCTCGGGGCAGTCCCATCACGTCTGCTCTCAAAGCTGTCTGATGCTTTTCGCCTATGTGCCGGATGGCTCTCTTCAGGCAGCCTAAGCATGCTAGGGGAAATCCCATGGATGCGGCCCGCACCCTGAACACACCAGCAAGGCCAGCAAAAAGGGAGTACCCTGCCTGGGTGATCATCATGCGCATGTGGCTCGACTGGGCATACCTTCGCAGAAGATGTGCCATTCTTTTTTTTTCCAACCCTCTCCGAAGCCCGCACTCGGCAGGTCAGGGCACTAGCAAAATCCTCGAAACCCAGCCCGCATGGCACACACTGATGGCCACGCCTCTTGGAGACTTATTGTGCATTCGAATCTGCTTATTATGCTGCAGGAAGTTGCTGACTGTCGCGACTCTCACCAACGGACAAGGCAAGTCCCACAGCACAGCACAGCCAGGCTGCTGGAGACCCTCCACGTTCACAGTGGGCTTCATGGCCAAGCTCACATACCAGCCCCTGGGAGTGCACTTGTGGTGTCAGTGGCGACTAGCTTCAATTGAAGCTTGTGTTAGGAATTATGTTTCGGAGTCGGTCAAGTGTCTTTGCGCAGGTCAATCAGCACTGATGATTGGAGCCTGCCATCAACGTGGTGGAAGAGACAGCGGCTATGAACTAGAGTACTGTGTGGCGGGGAGCGCAGCCACAGAGCCCTACCGTGGAGAAAACCACATTCCTATCCAGTCTTATCCAAAGCTGCGTCTTGCAGTCTGGGCACGCACCCAGCAGCCCTGCGACGGCACCAATTGCAGCGAGCACCAGGAAAATGTCATCGCCGTGGCTAGTGCACTCCTCGACTTCGTACAGCTTGCGGCTGGACCGGCATCAACAGCATCATTAGCGTCTTGTTGGCAACATTTCAACATGCCCTCATGCGTGCGTGCAAACCCCAGCTCCTTCCCATCTTCGGACCTCGGCTCCGCAAAGACTGAGGAAGTCTGAGAAACGCTGGCGCTCCGCTGAGCCAACGTAGGCATCCCAGGCCAGGAAGGATCAAAGCACTGCAGCCGAAAGGCAGAGTGTAGCCCATCATGCACTTCTGGCATTTCTCCACCTGTGATCGCATCAAGATCTGTATAATCTCTGCATCTTTCAGCAAGGTTCCGAAATTCCGAATCAGTGTGCTGCACCCCTTCTTCCGGTTTCCGATTAACTCTAAGCGCTGAGCATCTCTGGCTTCTGCAGCAGTCTCGGTGCAATCCCGAAGGCCCCAAAGAAAACATGCTTGAGCGCATCCCCCCATGCATCGATCCAAACGTAGAAGTCAAGAAAAGCTGATGGAAGACGGATTGCAGGGACCTGTACTCGAGTGCCGAGCTGACTAAACCTTGCAACGCTTCTGAAAGCGAGTCGCTGCTTCGTCCTCCTCTCCGGGCTTGGAGGATGTGCATTGGGCACATGCTTCCACTTCGCAGTAGCGGCAATAGGGGTTCCTGGGATGGATTCGCTTGTCGCATCCGGCAAACGAGGCAACACCTGTTTGGAATTACGTATGCCCTCAGAACTTGCTTGAAAGCCACACCAAGCATGTTTGCATGAATACAGTATCAACTACATGTCGTGCTGCTTCAGCGACACCCAACCTCGATGCATACCGCAGCTTGTGTCGTCTTGTGTAGTGAAGGGTCTCTTTCGTCTTCTCCCGTTCAGGGATGGTCTGGTTGGGAATGGTTCCCGCGGTGCCGCACTCCTGCGAATGGCAAGTGTGGTGCTGATCAGGTTTTGTTTGGAGGTCTCAATGGGCAGAGAGCAAACGGCTCGTGCAGTGTTGACAAAACTTGCCTAGCGCATCTAGGAAAAGGTGTTTGGCCGGAACAACCGGATGATGCTAACACTGCTACATGACCCAGGCATGCTGTTGCTTGTGTTAGCGACGGCTGTCGTACTTCTTGAAAGTCTTGAACATAGACTATGACTCGTGAAGGAATACGGATTGAAGTTTCCTATTTGCATTGCGAACAGTACTAGAATCTAGAACATGAGCCAAAGCCGCTACCGATAAATCTACCAAGAATCGCCGGAAGAACCAGCTCCAAACAAGCAATGGCTCAAGTGTCAAACCTTCGGCACAGCGATCGCACAGCATGCGCCCGGCCTGGGCCTTCACGCATTTGAAGTGGCAATACCTGCACTGGATTCACTGGATTCCCGGTCCGTGAGAGCTCCATGCGCGCACCCGATCGCGAACCCTCGCGTCAAGCTTCCGGGCTTTCAGCTTCGATCAGGATCCGGCTCGTCCTCATCCTGAAACCGAGGCCGCAGCTCCTTTGGGTCGTCGATTTCGGCGCTGAACGGACAGTTCTTGGGGCAGGCCTCTGCAAGACAGGCACGGTATGTCACAGTGCCTCCTGTGCCCTTGTACACGGAGCACGGCAGGCAGCTGTCGCTAAGCTGTGGATCAACGAACAGCCACTTAGCTAATGCTTTCCTCGCTGGGAGCCACTACTGCTCAACACCTGCATTGGGCATATGCTTGGAGAACGATGGTAGACGCAAGATTTCGCATCACAGGCCTCGGCGGGGTCAGCCGGGGCCTGGACAAGGATCACGTGTGCGAAACGACGGAATGGCTAGACTATAGAGCACATGGCCGGATGTTACGAACAGCTGTTCCACATGCTCCAATCCTTTGCACTATCAGTCGATTGCTGAGCAAGTGCTACGTTTTGTTATTTGACGGTCCGCCAGAGGTCTTGCCTTCAAGTCTTTCTCGCATTCGTCAGTCACATGCAGCACCTGGCGGATTCCAGGCGGAAAAGAAACAGCATATTACAGTTTACAGCCTGTAAGCATGTTCCTTGTTGATTTCGAGGGTGTTGCGGCGAAATTGAAATCTCGAACTGCAAAGCACATCGGACTCAGAACCCATGGCCAGGAGGATCAGTGGTGGGTTGAGAGGACTCTTTGTATAAACTGGAATGTCAAGTGCCGGCGAAGCTTTGGGGGGAATGTAGCATGGAGGTGCACGGAGCCCGGACATCGATGCATCAGCTGAAGGATGGAGTCCATGAGAGGTGGCTATGCAAGTTGCGAGCGCGAATGCTGGGAAGGACAGCACCACAAGCTGACAACATTCCGCCCCTGCCTGTGCGTAGCGGTGCTGCTGCTTATGCCTGTGGCTGCGGTCCTCGCGCATGGCCTTTAGCATGAGCTGGCCGGGCAGGGCAGAATGTCACTGCAAATCTTAGACAAGGAGTCATGCTGCCCTGGCAGGGGGTATCATGTCGTGGCCACAACATCTTCTGGACAAGTATCCCAGATTTGCCACAGTAGAACGTGAGCTTCAGAGTGAAGATTTGGGGGCAGGGCAGCGGCAGGGGGAGAGAGCGAGGAGAGAGAAGGAGAGGGAGGGACGGAGAGACTTTTTTTTTCAAGGAGGGAGCGAAGAGACAGGGGAGCCAGCGAGGAGGACGTGAGAGCGGGGTAGAGTGAGGGGGGAGCGAGGGGAGGGGAGGGAAGGTGCCGCGACAGAGATGAGAAGCGAGCAACAAGCTTGACTCTTCTGGTGGATTTATCTTGCTGCCACGCTACGACTTGCTCCAGTTCTTCATCTCCTCATGTTTCAACGGTAAACGGTCTTGCGAGATAGTGCCAAAGGTGCCCGAGAAATCGATCGGTCTGCAGAGTTTGCATCCATGGGTGCACTTCAGTTCTGCTCCCTCCAATCGAGGACACAGCGACCTGCGAACGCTGCAGACAAGGGTCGAGCATTCGGTCGCACGGCTGCCGCTAACCAGAGGCACTGCAGGCTCAAGAGCAACGGCCAGTGCCTTCAGAGTCTAACGCAGCTCTGAGACAGAACAGTTGACAAACACGCTCCGACTCCGCACTTTTGCATCCAGGCTGCCGAGCCATCGAGGCTCAGCCTGGCAAAAGGAAACTTTCGTCAGACCTTGGCTCCAAACAACTTCTACAATGCTACAAGTTGCGAAACTTCTCCTGCATGCTGGCAAACGGCAACCGAAGGAAACTGACTGGCGCGGAGATGCAGCATGACCTACATCACCAGGGCATCTTGAACCCAACGCCTGCAGATTCGCCGAACCGGGTTCCAACTCATGCAGGAGCACTTGCGCAAGGTCCACTGGCATCTTTCCTTCATGAGGTGCTGATAAGTCCAACATCGGAAGCTTTTGAGAGTGTTGGACTTGGACAGACACCATGTATTGTCGAACAGCCAAGCATTCATCCAAAAAACAAATTTTTCAAGAAATCGTATGGGGCTCAATCAACAGTCAAACGTGGAAGTAGCCCGATGATGTCCGGAGTTGAATACTGAAAGCAGGACGTTGCTATTCATGCAAAGTCTTCCCTCTTCATGGTTGTTATAGCACACCGTATTCACACCAGATCCCACCTGCCACCGCTGGTACACTGCATGGTTCCTTCCGCCCTTCTTGACGCCAAGGGAGGACATAGGCTTCCCGATGCTCGAGCCTGCAGACGTTGACAACTCAGCTGACTAGACGAGAAGGCAGCAAAGAACACTCGAATGGCCCGAAGGTGTGCACGTGAGCATCTGATTCCACTTTCGCGACTCTTCTTCTGCACAGTCAAGAGAGCACGAGCAACTTTCGCGACTCTCGCTCGCTTGCTTGCTTCCGCGTTAGGGGAGAGGCATCAAACCTCGCCCGCCTCGACACCCTCCCTTTTTTCATTCGTTTCTTTCACGACAAAAGTAGAGGAAGGAGGAGCGACCTCCTCCCACCCCCCACCTCCCTCGCACAAGCACGTGCCCTGGATAACCAATCCGTCCAAGCCCAAGACAAGGAAGCTGCTCTGGACGGCCACGCTACGCTTGCACGACGATAATGCTCCAGAGTCACTGATTGGACGACTTGGCTGCACTGGGACGACTGCAACGGACACACATGTCGGTGACAGTCAGATACTCCATAGTATCCACAAAACTTAAAACATCGGTTCTCCGAACTCAAGATGTACCAAACCCTCTGTGTGTAAGCCTGTTGAGGCGACGGACTTCTTGGCGCTTGGTACCTTCCGGCTGCTGGCTTGGGGTGTGGGATCGCTCGGAGCCCGAGATTCAATGAAACTCTCAAAGTGACGCAACACGACTGCTCCATGGAAAAAACCCAGGAGTTTTCGTTTCTGGCCTCCGATACACCAGCCCAGGAAGTCTCGCTGGCAGCCCTGAGAGGAAGGGCTGTGAAGCTGCTGGCTGAAATGTCTTCAGTGGCTCCTGCTTCCATCTCTTCCGATAGTGTAGCTGAGGCTGCGACGGCCGAGGGCCCTCGTCACCTAAACGCGGTGACCTGGCGCACCATTCGGGCTGGAAGCTTTCAGCTCGCAGATGCTCGCAGCCGGCCGGGGCGCAGACCCTAAACTTCTCCAACCACGTCCTGCGGCGCACGGCGACATCTTATGCGGCAAGCTTGTCACAGGCTGTGCATCTATTCACCTTCAGACAGGCCAGCGCAGACCTCGACTCAACGTGGGCGAGGAACGGCAGCCCTGCAAGGGCCTTGGTTGGATAGATTTGGAAGCAGTCTTGCGATTGGCTGCAAGACGAAAATACAGCTGCGAGCACTAGATGTGAAACGAATGCACCGCGACCAAGACCTGTTCGGTTTGGTACAGGACCTGATTCCCTAGAACCAACGCAGCTGAACGTAAGTTTCCCATAGAATTACCTTTCGAGGTGGGCAGCGGGATTTCAACATCTGCTCCCACAGGCATGTTCAGCGGGTGCACATTATCAGGAAGAAATGTGGACCACGGCGAGGGCACACAGGACGTTCGACCCTGCATAATAGAGGTTGATAGAGGAACGTGGAACTAGCAATCTATCTTCGTAGACTGCACTGCCAAAGAAAGGGATGTGCTTTACACCTTGGGGGAGGCAGGCAGTGCCTCCAGACTCCAGCGGGCATGTTTATGCTGACTGTACTGATGGCAATGTGCTGTCTGTGAAAGCTTGTGCCGCTTTGACACGGTCTGCGAGGTTTGTGACACAGCTTTCGCAAGAGCGCTTGAACGCTGCTGGCTGGCAGAAACAGCATATGGCCAGATGTGCTGTATATATATATATATATATGTGTGTGTGTATACTGTATATCTATATATGCTTGAACATACTATACACTATACTAATGTATGTTCATATACGTAGAAATAAATAATAGCTGGTGCTCGCCTCTCCCGGTCGGGTTTCTTGTCTTGCTTAGTGTGGGCGGGCGCCGGCAAGGAGTGGATGTGCAAAGAAGAGCCCCATCACAATTGAATCCAGTACTTCATGGTACTTCATACAAGGGGAATCATTCACCCATGGTGGCCAAACTCCAGCTCATGGCTTCTACGGCCTCGCCCCGTTCGAGCTCCTGGCTTCCCCAGCGGAGGCAACCAGGAGATCCTGGGCCGAGGGGGCAAGCCGGGGCGATGCGGTGCCTTTAGCTCATCCGCGGGACATCCCAAAGCCCAAAGCCCAAGATCTGCAAACTCTGCAAAGCCCAAGACGCCCCGGGCTTCCAGACATCTGCAAAAGCCGCAGCAAAGCCCAAGCCGGGCTTCCCGGCTCTGGCAGGCGGGGCGACCCACTCTCTGAGGCGCAGAGCGAGGCGCACAGCGACGAGGGCTGCGCTGAGACGCCTCTGAAGAAAGGCTTTGGGATATTGCTTCTAGCGAGAGGTGAGGGCCACGAGCTTCATCCGACATAGACTCTGATGCCTATTCGACCCGCACAGACTGCGTCCCACGGTTGAAGGTGGGAGTCCAAGAGCTCCAACTTGAACCCGCAAAATAAGTTTCTTGAAGCGATGCGGCACCTGGCCCCAAATTTGGGATGGAGAGAGCGGAAGGGGGCCGCATGCCTGAGCAGATGCTACGTCGGGCAGTGTCAATTGTGGCCGAATGAGCCACTTAGGGAGGTACACAGGCGGGTCGGGTCAGTTCGGGCACTGCCCAGGTGAGCCCGGCCTGGTTTCAATGCCAGCGACGCTGTGGCAGAGGAGGCAGGCCGTGAGCCTCCAGAGTTGAGCACACCGCAAATACATGCATGATCATTCATGCATATCTACATGTTCGTCTGTCTAGTAGAAGACATACACATGCACGTACGATTGATACAGACCAGGCGATGAAGCAAACACATTGACCCAGAGACTTGCGTTAAGAGATGCAATACGTACCAACTGAGATCTCCTTCTGTACAAGCACGAGCACACTATCGATCTATCCATCTATCTATCTACATCTACCTGGCTAGCTAGCTCGATACGTGAGCTTATGCCATAATGCCCGAAACTGCATGTAAGTACACAAACAGCGTTGAACATCCCTTGTTTGCGCATGCGTGTAATGTAGGCTGCACGTGCGTTATGGTATCCTTCCTGCCTGACAGGCTATGTATGTCCTTTATGTATATATATATATATGTGTATATATATATATATATGCAAAGCTTTGCGCATTTGTCGAATCTCCCCCTCTCTCTCGGCAGGAACAAGGCCTCAAGTCATTCCAAGTGTCCAACAATTGTGGGCCCAAGTGTATGGCTTACGAAGTGCTAAAGTGCTCAGTGCCAAACCACCGTATTTTACGATGAAAGTGGCGCGAAAGGGCGAGAGCGAGGTTTTGGGGCGAATTGAGCAACGCGGACCGATCTTTGCGCGCCGCACGGTGACAGAGACCGAGCCCTGTTTGTCCGAGGTCAAGCACGGCACAATGATCGTCAGAGCGAAGAGAACAGAACATAAGGAGGACTCTCTGGCCTGCTTTTGGCATTTACACCCCGTGTTTCTGCTCCCACCCAAAGAAAGTTCTACTACGAGGGCACAGCCCAAGTGGAAACGTCACACTCACCCCTGTGCGGTTTGTATGGTCAGCGTATAAGAAGTGACTTGCTTCTCTGGTTGTTTGATAAAACCCAACAAGAAGAGAAACAGGCTCAATGCACAACGGTCAACGGACCGACAGGGCTGGTAGAATGCGTGCATGCATCTTGCACATACGGATATACACCTACACCTATTGCTACACATATCCACATCTCCACACATCGATCTGATTCGTTCGCATGTGGATGGATGTATGTCTCGGCACAGGAAGGAGGGGATCCGCTGGCCTGGCCGCATCGTCGAGACCCAATCCCGGCTCACATGGGCTGGGGCTGTGCCTCCGGTGCCTGAAGCTTCGGAAGCACTCCACGTCGCTGTGATTATCACATTTCCCGCTTACACAAAATTTCACGAGATGAGAAAAGCACATTCCTGCCCAGGCAGGTGCAGGCCTCGAGCTTGGGGCTCATTGGACTTCAACTCCAGCTCGCTTCGCGAACGCGTCCTTCGTGATGGGCAGATCATACACTGTAGTAGCTTCCGAGCGTAATTTACTCGGACACCGTCCGACGAACTTGCTTTGAGGCCCTCGCGGTGTTTGTGAAACCGGCGGCGCTGGAGCCATTAACCAAGAGGCAGCGACTCGTTGATTGACGTGTCAAACCTACCGGTGTTGTGTTACATCTTGGCTATGTAGGGCCATGTAGCGGTATCTCAATCTTGCACCTTCCAGGCAGGAGTCTAGGAGTCAGGGTTGGGCTGGGGTTGGGGTTGGGGTGGGCTTGAGTCCACGGCTCAGGTTCCGAGGAAGGAGCTTGACTGGATGCCACTTCAATGTCCTACGCGTGGCTATGCCGCGCTCTACTCTGAAAGCCATTTGCCAGCGGCACCGCTGCGAAACAGTCCGGGCTCCATTCCGCGCCACCGGAAGATGTGATTGAGAAAAATGGCCAACTGGCTTTACTGGCTTACTCATGCAAGGCATCAGCAGAATGTGCAAAGTGACCGCGAGGCGTGAGGTGTGTACACGGCAGGGTTGGTAAGCTTGTCGATGCAAGGGGTGTCCAGTGTCCAGGTCGAAATTTATTAGCCCTTCATATCAATCGTTTCTCCCTGCTTGAGAGAAGCATGACTTCATGCCGCAGCGCAGGCGAATAATGGACCATCTCGGCAAAACATGCTTTCTTACCTAGCTAACTTCCAACCAGCGGAAAGAGTCTCAAGAACTCTTGAGCCCCTGCATGTGCAGACCTGCTCTGGACCGAATTCTTGCTCAGGGCATGCACGTAAAGGTCCCGAGCCCTAACACGAATTTCAGATCCTCGCAACCCACTTCTTTGCCCATCCGCTGCATACCCACGAATCATGAACATTACAGTAGGATGTGCACGCTGATGGTCCGGTGGCTCGATAGTACCTTTACCACTTCTGCGGGAATGCAACCTTGGGTTGCTACGCATCTGTCCACGAATTGCCCACTAACTTGGCGCTGCACCGGTTCCTGAGGGGACACTTTCTGCCTAAGTTGCTAAGTGTCCTCATATCCGTCATACCCATACAGCTGCCCATGCAGCTTCTGCGTCAAGCGATCTCAGTGGACTCAGGCCCGGTGAATTAGGGGAACTTCGCCAGTTCAACTTCAATGGCACGCATCGGATCCTCGCAAAGAAGCGGCTTCTGCAGCGCAGGCAGGGGCGATCAAGGCGGCCGGTGCCTCCTGCAGCCCGGGGCCCTCGTAGGGGAGGCCATCAAACACAGCCACCTGAGACCAGGCTTTGGCCGTGCGATCTTTGAAGACTCTCCAAAGACCTCAGACTAAGCTCCCCGCCTTGGCACCCCTGCATGCCTCGAATCGAGTTCGTGGCTGCTTCACGTCAGTGTCGGTCTCAATCTCGTATCGCTGGGCAAGCCGTGTCTCAGAGCAGCGCCCATTCGAAAGGAGGGTCTTTCTGCAACGAGTCATCAACTAGTAGAATGCCCGACCTGATATTGCGCTCGAATCGAAGGCTCAAGATGATGGCTTGCATGCAGTCGGCCAGAGCCCCTGTGCCATTGATCCGCGATGTTTCCCGTTCCTATCCCAGCAGGTCAGTAGGCACACCACCGGGCCGTGCTGGAGAATCTCCTGCCCGAAACTGAAACCTCTACTGTAGGCCTTGCCTATCCCGGCTGTTCCACGTCCTTGGCAGCAGCCGGGTCAAACTTTGGCCATTGAGTTTTGCAGGCTGGAATAGGAAGAGCCGGCCCAGCAGTTGTGGCCAACACTGCTAGAGTTGCCTGCCAGATGGTCCCAAGGTGCAGCGTCGTTGGATGCTGTGGGCTTAGACTATCCCAGTTTCTCAAAGCATCGAAAAACTGGGTCAAACCTGAAGCCAGGCTTTTCTAGCAGGCGTTCAAAGGAAGTGCCCGGTGCATGTGCATACCGGGCACTGCTAGAGTTGCCTGCGTTGCCACGACTGACCAATGCATGCTTCATGAGGCTGCACCGGCATGAGGAAGTGCTGAGAATTGAGGTCGGGCACATGCTGCACCATCCGATGCATCAACAGGCACAGCGTGCCACCAAAATTGGGCCGCTGACGCCTTCGGGCAAATGTCTCGGAGCAGCAGCACTTTGCTGCTGCTAACTGACCTGATTCCAGGCCACGAGAAGAAACGAGCAAACGCTTGGGGAGGAAGCAACTAAAGGACATGATCTGCATCAGGACTTTCGAACCGATCCAGGCAGAAAAGCACATACCCCTTGTATCATGTGCGGGTCTTGCCAATATCCGGCTTCAAACACTCCGTGCCAAGGGTCAGGCTGGACAGAATGCCGCGATTGCTGCACGTCCCAGATGCGGTCGCTGGGGAAAAACGGCCTGAGCATCGGCACTGGGGCAGTCAAAAAGAGGGCCTCTGCAGAAGCGGCTCTCAGACAGGAACTGCCACTCCGGCACGGCGTTCAGTACTCGCAGAACTGATGTGGAGATCCCAGCAGTGACGATGGCGAACCTGTCTTTGCGCAACTGTGGTGAAGCAGAGCCATATCTTACACTGAAGTTGGACAAACGCATTACCGTTTCGGATATTGAAGCGTTCATGCGCTAATGACTCCGTGCTGCATGCGCCATCAAGCTTCATAGAAGTCCAGCACCGCAAGCGCGATCCATTGATGCCCAGGTACTCGGCACCGGAACGACTCAACTGCTGCAGCCTGTCATGAGCAGCAATGTTGTTAAACGAGAGCGTAGCAGGAATGGCATGTGAGAAGAACATGTTTGGGGATTGGCCATGAGTCGTCAAAGCCCGTCATCCCACCGCCACCGCACTTCCTGGTATGAACTAATAGCCTAAGCCTTGCACTCGTCAATGCTCTCCGACCTTCAATCTGTATATCCCTTCTCTTCCGTAATGGGCAACCAATCCCACGCAGGTAGTGGCGATCCACAATGGACCGAGACCACATCGTCTCTTCCCACCGAAGCTTCGAGACCCGAAGAAACAGCCGTCAACGGGAACATACGGGAACTAAGAGCGCACCAACTTGCTATGGCATTGATGCGCTCTGCACCGCCGAAGAAGACCTCCCAGCATGCAGATGCAAGGAACACTACTCGATACGGTTATGCGGATGTGCTCAACGGCTTCGCTTTGCCGGCTGCAAGTGAGCTGTTTGCTTAGCCAGGATCAGGAAGCGAAGTGAGGCCTTTCTCCCATTCACATTCACTTGTGGCACCCATGACCGGCCTCGCGCAACAGTTCGCGCAGCTTGTCTTCTCCGACGGCCCTCCATAGACGCAACGCTCCAGCAGCTTTCGCTTCAGAGCTTCACTGACGACCAGCATCTGACACGGAGCTACAGCGAGACTGCACCCTCCCGGCCCACACCAAGGGCTGCAACCTGTGCAGCAAGGCCAGGGGGACGTCGGGCTCCACACCCCTACCAGGCCCAGTCGTGAATTGCACCTGAGCGGATTGGGCTCCGTGTGAGCAGGAACCTCAGAACACACATCTACAGGGGTCTCTGCACAGCGGTGAGGCCAAATATTGAGAAAGTGGGCATGCCAAGTCACCTCAATCTTTCTCAAGTGCTGCTTCAAAGCCAAGGCCAAGCACAGGCGAACAGGATACAAGAACGCACTCACAATCAAAAGGCCAGGTTGCCCCTACTCCCAAAAATTGCAACGATTGCCGTGCAGCCCTGAAGGGCGTACCCAGGACTCAGGATCATGAGATGGACAAGATTTGAGTGGATACAAAAGGTGTGCACCTCGCTGAGGTCAAGCTCGTGCTCCTCGCACCAATCCAGGAGGGCCTGCTAGCATTGGCATCACGATCCCATCTACAATTCGTCACGGTGAAGGTCATTACTTCTGCTACTTCCTCGTCCTTTTCTTTCGCCTACTTCTCCTTCTCCTACTCCTACTACTCCGACTCCAACTCCTACTCCGATGTCAGACGCCCTGAGTTTCGAGTTAGGGTCGGGCTGATTTGTCAACCCATGAAACTGCCAGCCAAAGCTGGAGTTGAGGGTCTGCGCTCCTCTGAATATACCTCACTTATCCATTCAACTACACTCCTTCAGGCCTCATCTGCTGTTCAAGCATGGCGCCTCGTAGTGAGGATGGGCATCCGTGTTGTTGGGGATGCACCAAGCGAACACCTGGGCAAGCATCTTCCTTTCACTGATTTCATGCCCCTGCAAGCCTCTCTGAAGCTTCCATGCCATGGCTGCTGGGCAGTGAGCCGCATTCCGATTCAGCTGCCTTGGAACCCGGCTTTGTAGAAGTGCCGTATTGTCAAGGTACAGTCCTCAAGCCAAAGGCGGTAGAGCGCTCTACCATGAACAGTCGTCACCAGCACTTTCAACCTGTCTCTGGTTCTGAAACATTGTATTGTTTGTAGATGACATTGTAGCTTTTAAAGACACAGGGCTCATCTTTCTCATCTTTCACGTGCATGACACGTGAGAGGCATCACAATTAGGTCGGAACTAACCGCTAACACCACTAGTAGCTACAGCTGCCTAGCCAAAAAACGAGCCAGAACGACAGACTCGTAACCCCTTTCCAGGCCCCCGCACGAAGTCGAAGCCGACCAATATGGTACGCTGGCGCTGGCGCTTTAAGGCCTCACCCCGCAGCGTGGGGAAGGGCGATAATGGGATCTACTTCGGGAGGATCGTTGGAAGCGCCATGCTTGGCGACAAACCTGCTCTCGGAAGGACCGAACGGTTCCGCGGGCCTCGCGCAGCGCCCGCCGGTCTTCGGGCATTCTCGCGGCGCGCTCGCTGCGCTGCCGAACCGTGGGGGGCACGATATACCCTCACTATGCCACATGCAAGTTCTAGACATGAATCGTTCTAGCATGAAGCTTGTGGACGAGCATCTGCACATACTACGAACTCCTTGAGCGGCTGGCTTGGTTTCACTCTCACACTTGTGTGCGTGTCAGGGAGAGAGAGAGGGCGAGAGTCAGAATATGTCAGAATGTGTTTGTTTGCATGCACGCCTGCGCGTGAGAGTGTGCTGGTGGTAGTTGCTTCGGACTTTTGACGGAGTATTAACAGCGAAGCTTGCTGTAGACCGATGTAGAACAATGCCTAAGTTTATCCGAAATGGATGACAGCGTATAGCAGCTGCACAATTTTCCGTCACACATATTAACTGCGCCGTAAGCGTAGTCATTGCCGCTTGGCGCGGCATGTCACAGCAGCCGCAAGAATCTGCTAGTCGCAATTCTGGCCAGGGTCGAAGTACGGCACCACACATCAGCCGGTACTGTTTCTGATTCTTGCTCTGCGGACAGTCGTGAAAATGGGACAGCAGTTCTTGCATAGCAGGACTGCCAGCGAAAACTCGGCTAAATCCTGCTAGGGCGTTCCGACGTGGCAGTGCCAATGGCAGAACATGAGCATTTGAGATCATCAGGCACTCCGCATGGATCCCGTTGCCAGACAAGCCTCATGCATGAAATCCTGGCCTGAACGGCAACGTTCCGCCAGGGCTAAGGACACCAAGCTACTCGTTTCTGCAGCACTCACTCCCGGAGGGCCAACTCCGCTAAGCGAGGTGCCAATTCCGCATCTGCGCATGTGAGGAGAACGATGGCCACCTTGTGTCGGTGAGGTTTACTGGGGGGTGTGATATAGCCATGAACCGGGACAGAAACCAACCCATGTGGCTCACAGCGGTTAACCCATGAGTCTTGGTTCACAAGCTTGTGCCGGAATTCGACGAGATGGGGCTTCGAGCACATGTTGCAGAGTGACATGACGCAGCTGCGGAAACGCATGCATCAAGAATCAAGCTGAACAATGCTGAACAAACTAACGGAATAGCAGGTGAACTCACGGTGAACTCGCAATCGTGAAGCGTACTGTACTCATAAAGTTTTCTAGCAAAGCAGAACTACCACACTGTCGTCTTGGGCAATGGCCTCTCCACTAGCAGAGCGCTTCGCACAGCTGACGGAGTTGCTCAACATCTGAGACCAGAAGTCGACCTAAGCATGGCATTGTCAAACCAACACAACTGCCGGGCTGGGCATGGCTGGGCATCCTGCAGACATGGCAAGGCCAGCTCCGAAGCTGGCTGCCGACGCCGCGCCGGCAAAGAGCCTTTGATCTCGAAGTCTAGCTGGGCGTCAGGCTCATGGGATCTTTGGGAGGTGCCTTGAAGCACATGCGCGGGTATAGCGAGATCGAGCATGTCGCACTTCTGTGAAGGAGCTCAGACCCTCGAAGAGCAGCGCTGTTGGGCAGGCACACCTGGGCGCAAAGTACGCGACATCAAGCATCCCCCTTACGCAACCTCTGCTCCAATCCTACAGTGCAGTGCAACGGCAACTTTTTCCACATTCGCGCTCACGCCAAAAACACCTCCTCCACCTCCAAGAGTATCCAGGAGAACTGAGCAGGAAAACCTCCGGCTCCTATTAAGGGATTATCATGGTCTGTGTACCCTTTACATTGGTGAGGCCCCTCTCCGGTGCGGCCTCACGGCCTGCAATTTAGTACGGCTAGCCGGGTACCAAAGCTTTGTGCCTTGTCAATGTTGTTGTGGCATTTTATGGAAACGCTCTGAAGCGGGCAACATATGATGCGCAGTGCGCAAGGAAAGGCCTCACTCTGGGCACACAGCTGCCCGAGTCTCTCAGATCTCGGTGTCTGCCCGCTTGCGCCGCAAGGCGTCTTGGCTCAGTTGGCTCAGGGCAGCGCGTCCACAAGGCCTCCCACCTGGAGAGCCTTCTTGTTCAGGATGTTCCTTGGACTTTCTAGCTTCGGCAGGATCCGAATCTGGGCTTCATGAGTCTGCGAGCAGCCGAGGAACTGCAGTGAGAGGTCCACGCCGTGGCTGGGGGCGTCCAGGTTCACCGGGTCAATGTAGCCTTACCCGATGACTCACACGAAGCATCAGGACATGACTTCAAGCATCCGCCTTACAGGTGAAGTGACGAAGCAAAGGCAAGCGGTTAGGCAGTTGGGCACCGCGCAGCTAATTTATAAGATAGACAGTGCAGGGGGGCATGCAATGCGCTTTTCAACTCTTTTTTTCCGCCAGGGTTAGGGGCAAGAGGATTGCTCCCCTTACGCTGTTCAACTCTCTCTCTCTCTCTCTCTCTCTCGCTCTCGAACGGTTCAGCTCTACGACTACGATCTGCAAAGGCTAAAGGGCTGCAGCTCCTGATCAAAACCAGCTGAAGAACCAGCGGCGACCATGGCGGCTGCTAGTGACTAGTGAAAAAGATATTTTAATCGCAACCAAGGTATGTGATGCGTCGTTGCCCACTGAACACCCATGAAGTCCATGGCCAATTGTTTGATTCTCCGAAAACCCTCTCATGCGGGGTGTACTCTGTTACTACGTGGCAACAAATTGGCTGAACTGAAGCCTTTGCCGCAAAAGCGTGGGTTTTGGGCTGCAACTATGGAAGTCCATAGCAGGCGAAAACCGCAGCACGGCTTCAATCGGGACACCAGTTAACCTGGTCCGTGGGAGCCCTGTGTCACCAAGGAACCCCACTCCAGCTTGAAGCCGCTGATGAGGTTAGCATCAATCTCCTGATGGCAGTACTGAACTGTTAATTTTCATTAGGGGAGGGCATTAAGAATGGGTGGGATTTTATGTTCGGCTTTGTTTTGTTGCATCTTGTTTGTTTTTGGCTGGTTGTTCTCGACCGTCAAAGTGTCATATAGTAGATAGTACATAGTATACAGATGGATAGCTGGATAGATAGATGGACAAATAGAAAGATACATAGATAGAAAGATAGATAGATAGATAGATAGATAGATAGCAAGAGTGTGTACATATATATATGCGTATACATATATGTATGTATGTATGTGTATTCATATACATATATATATATATATATACACACACGTCGCTTTGCTGCCGCGTTTCGTGAACCGGACCTATGCTTGTCCCACTTGGCTCGCGGAATCCACAGGAGTACCCCAAATCGTTTCCAAGTACTGCTGCGATGAAAGGTTTTCCAAAAGCAAGGGCGGTCCGTATCGTTTTATTAGAATGAGTCACGCCTCAAGCACGTAGAACCCTCTGTAACTGACGAAAAGCATGCACCGCACCGCAGCGGGCATCTGCGTAAGTAACAGGGCGCAGTAGCCATATCTGCACCATTTGATGTAGATAATGGGATGCGCGGAGTTGGCAAAGGCACGAAAGCGAGAACAACCAGCCAAAAATAATTAATAAGTAAACAGACCAAAGACAAATGACCCTCCATTAAGAACTCACACCTGCACTGTTCAAGACGGTGCTGTGACTTTGTCTGCTCATTTGCGGCATCGTAGTCTTTCACAACCACAGGACCAACGACCTATTGTTGCATTGCAAGCGCCTCGATCAGCTTGATGCTGTCCGTCTCGCACTTCACCTTCATCTTCTCAATGATCTTGTTCTTCTGGTCGTCCGTGAGACCTCGGGTCTATGTGGATGTCTGTAGAGCTGAGAATAGCTTGTGAGTCAGGTAACCCATCCTTCAGCGGCTTCATGTCTGAAACCAAACAGAACCGCAACAACCCAAATCTTGCTTTGCAACCAGGCCACGTGCGGCAGACGTGACCTTCACTGGGCTGACGGACTCCTGTCTCGCTCATGAGTGGGTTTCTGCAGCTCTTCAATGCAATTCAATACGAAACACAAGTGCACACATGCGCAAAAGTAGTAAAATCTTAATATCCGTGCACACAGACATACTGTCACATACACCTTAATACATTCGTTCGTTTCCGGCCACACTTACTCATTGACTTACCCAATGGCCTACATTCATGCTGACAACAAAGAGACTAAAGAGACACAGCTGGCCCTGAACACAGTAGAGCAGGAGTCAAAGATCCACGGAGTGTCCTTGAAGTACGCGCTCTGGACGTACTCGAGGCAGATTGCCTTCAATCCCTTGAGGCGCATCTTCCTTGGATAGGTGACTCTTTTCGGGTCTGGTACTTGCCTCGACAAGCATTAGTGTAATATGCAAAGACAAAGAGAGTTCACAAGTAAACCGACGAGCAAATCCCTCTTAACCTCAAGCCTTCGCTGCGAGCGGCTTGGCAATGAAGCGAACGAACTTTGGCACCACCTTTCAGAGGCTCCGTGGAAAGCTTTGGAGGGTTCTCGGGTTCTCGACGCTTCAACTTGGAGCTCTGGGGCCGCAGCCGTGGACTTCAGAGGCTTCACCATGGCCAGGATCTGGTCGGCGCGCTCGACTTCGGTAAGGTTGAAGTCCTGATAGTGAGGACGCCGGAGCCTTCGTGCTCCGTGATTCCATGTGATTCCGTTCTCAAACTGTCGCTTGAGTCGCTTCTTACTTGGACATAGTCTTGAAGGAGACGTTCTTGCAGCTTGCGTTTGCAGCATCGTCTTGCTCAAGGTTCTGGTACAAGCAGCACGCTCGTGTTTTGGGCTGTGGCACACAAGGGCTGCTTTCCTTGGCACATCGTCCCCTGCCCAACCGGTCGGGAGGAAAGCCGTCGTCAGCAGACTAAGGATGTACCCGGCATGCGGGCCTCCCAACCAAGCACGCCCTCACTCCCGCAGAAATGCACTTACGGAAAGGAAGTTGACGAATGAAATGCGTTTCCCGATTTCTCTGTAGCTTCAGCGAATTCCACGATAGCTGCAAAAATTGCTACGCGCCAGAAAGCCCCGCGACGACATCTTCTTTCACATATAAAGGCTCCAACAGGTCACTCTCCTCAGAATTCCAAGCCGGGCCCGTGAGACTGCAAGACACGATGCTTCGGAGAAGCCCCGACGATTCGCCAGGCAACCCTACAAACCCTGGACCCTAGTACAGACCTTAGGCGCCTTGAACCCTTTGTTTGTGCTGGGTGACCGAGGGCTGCAGTTTATTTCAAGTTGGAGGGGTTCAACGTCCAATTTCTCATGACAGATCACCATAGGTTCGTGTGATTCAACAATCCATTCTAAGCCAACGGCATTCTGGACCAAGCTCAACTCCTCGAAAACGGCCTCGCACAATAGGAAAGGTGCTGGAAACTGATGCGCATGAGTCTCCACGCCACATGCTCGTGCTTGTGGCCTCATCCTCATAGAAGGCCTTGATCTTCAGAATATCCTCCATCACGGCTGCGTCCTCGAGCAGGAGCTCAACATCCAGAGTTTCGACAAGCCCTCCCACATATGCTTGTGACCTTCGCGTTGCTGTACATCTCATTTGTCTTTTTGCTGGGCGCCTGTTGCTGTTACTCAGTCACTCATGTCCATGTCGGCTCTTACGCTTGCTGAGGCTTGTCTGTCTGTGTGTGTGTGTGTTCCTCTTGTTGTTCCTCCCACTGTTCTTGCAGGCATCAGAGGCTCCTCGGCCTTGGCCTGGCCGGCTTCCCGGAGCGCCTTGCATGCAAGAGTGTGCGAAGAGGCACAGGAACACGGCCCGCTCACGCTTTCCCGCCTTGGCGTAGGACACGGCCGGGCCGAAGGGCTTCAGGTAGGATCCATCTGCTTGGCGCTGCGTGAGGCTGCGCTGCTGGGCCGCCTGCGGGGCTCAGAACTTGCATGCCCGCAAAAACGGAAACATCGCTCTGTTGACGACTCAAGGCCATCAACAACATGAAAATGAAAGAGTTCTCAAGGTCTGTGCGGTATCTAGAGCTTGCTTGGAGTGTTCGGCTGGAAGGAAAAGGGGCCATCAGCTAATTTTGGGCAGGGACTAGTCCGACCAGTGACCCTTTGCTTTGCACTGGTTCCATTCCACACAGATCAGGCGGGAAACCAACGGAACATCCCGGGAAAATATTGCATACCCGTTGACAAGCTCAGAAGGCACCTATTGGCTTTTGTTGCGGAGTACTTGGCCGAGCAACACGGGCTCTCGACTGCTGATTTGTCGCTTACCGATCCTGTGCAGCTTCACATCCTGCTGGCTTGGAGCCAAGGAATGGGTTGCGTGACTCCGGGAATCGTCTGAACAGGCGATTTTGCAGCGTTGAGTCTGGAATTCCGCCTCACCCGACTGTGCAGACCGCCCAAACCCTGCGGGCAGGGAGGGAGTGAAGGCCAACTTCCCCATGAAGCACATCACCGCCGCAGCCAGCACTGCCTCAGCAAGCTCCAAGCTTCAAAAAGAGGGGCATGGCAGAAACAGTAGGAACCAAGGCACCACTCCCATGCTGCGCGCCATACTGCTCGAAGGAATGAAAATCTACAGCGATGTTTGCCTGAAAGCAATGCGTGGAGCTGAGACTCCTCGAGCAAGAGCGGCTATTGGCGGCCAGCTGGAGATTTGCACTCACTGTGGTCTTTAGCAGAAGGAACCGAAGCCTGAGAGTTCACATCTCAGGCAGGGTGTACAAGAAAGCTCTCACCTAGATCTGCAAAGTTCTGACCACGCCCTGTCAAGCTTCTGATGACAGCATGTACGGCCAAGCCCGCGGCGTCTGCAAGATGCATGCATCTCATGTCATCGGCGCCCAGCGACGCAACCAGGGCATCCTTGCATGCCGATCAGAGGAAAGGTCTTCGGAAACAGCTCACGCCACACAACGTCTGCTTGCCACCACCATGTCCGGCCTGTGAGGCTTCAACCTCTGCGCTTTCCACACTCCTCGGCCAGAAGGGCAGTGTACGATTGTACGCACCATTCTACAACAACTGCTGAGGATTGCTGCAAGAGACCTTGACTGCAAAACAGACTGGGAGGTCTGCATGTAGCCTAGAACGGTAGAGTTGGGAATAAGTGAACATTCAGCAGTTTTACCCTCTCATCGGCCGACTTCTCCTAAGTATGAAGGCGACGCCCATTTTGCATTTGTCCTGCCCCCCCCCCCCCCCCTGCGGCATAACTGTAGGCCGGGGCACAAGATCGGCTTCGAGATCTGAATGGGGGACTGCGTGGCTTTGAAGAAGGGGCGCGAGGCCTCGAGACAGAGGAGTCTTCCCATGTACAGTTTCGGTTCAGTGGAAGCTGGATCGCACAATGACGAGAGATTTTGAACTTGCTGCATGCACGCCGACTGCAGGGTTAGTGCAGAACGGCCTGCGAGAAGAAGGACTGCAAGGCTTCACCTCACGCTTGCACGGGCCACTATCCTATTGGAGGTCCGTCCTCTCTCATCATTGACTTCGAAGACTTCTTCTACACTTCTAAAAATTTAAGTAAGCAAATTCAGTACGGAATAGCCTGCACCTACAGCAGCACCAACTGCCGACTGGAGGCTGGGTGTCCTTCCCACCTTGCGAAGCAATGCCGCACAGACCGTGGCATGAGCGGTGGCCGGCCACCTAAACAACGCAGCGCGAGAGTCAGCAAACTTCTCAGGAGCAATGCACCCTGAATCGCATCCAAGAGAGCGCTGAACGGCTAAATTTTGCAGTAGCACTGGCCCCTTATCACAAAACCGGGACGATCCGTGGGAATGCGAATGCATCTCGGCGACCAGGAAGGACAGGAGCCACTTGCCGGCGGTGCAGTCCTAGGTCATTCAACCACCAGTATCGGGCATGCCAACTTGGATGAAATGGTGTGTGTGTGTGTGTTGGCATTGGTCCTCCGCAGATTCGTAAACATTCAGGGCATCAACAGCTACGTTGGGTGGCATGGAGTTCTGGAGGGCGCCACAGCTATTGCCCGTACTTGGACGAACCTTCGATCCTGTTTTTGGCGTCAATGAGTCAAACCGGACGTCCAATCCGATGTATCGTACAAGACATGGTCAGGTTTCGCATATACCAAAGTACTCACACTCACACACGCTTGTACGTATACAGGGACACATACATACGTACTTACATACATACATGCATGCATGCATGCATGCATGCATGCATACATGATCATACATGCATGCATGCATGCATACATGATCATACATGCATACATGACATACGTATATGTGCATATACATACACATTATGATATTACGTGTGTGCGGGTCTGCATACATATACATCATACGAACCCATGTACTTACGTAGTTCGGCCTGCATCTACCCTTCTGTGGAAGATTTCCGTACTGCCGCGGGCTTGGAGCAGGTTCGGTGGTAACAAAAAACAAACCCATAGAATCAAAAAACACGTGGAACTGACTGGATTGTCATTGTGGCGGTATCTTTTTGTCGGAGTTTGTTTTTTTGGTACGTTGTCGGGCTCTTCTGCTGTTAGCCCTTCGGTTACAATGTTTTCAAGAGGGGGCAGTTCAAGGAGCGAGAGTGCTGGGGATTCCTGGAACTTTCGGGAAACTTAGGAAGTACATGGTATCTGTCTCTGTTGGACCCCATCTCTTGGGGATCTCTCATGATTAGCCTTGGTTCGGTTGCGTGCTTGCTTAACGCGTGTACATGCACCATGTCAGGGGCTGTTAAGTTGGCAAATCTATGGCCGTAGCAAGCATGATCAACAAGAATCCTGAATAGTGCTTGAGCTTGTCAGCTGTTTCCTGGCTAAGGCGGCTAAGGTACTCCAATGGTTCAAGCATACAAACGAGCCGTTCAAGTTGACTCGATTCTTCTGTTTTGTCAAAGTGCTTAGTTTACGCAGACTGGTACTAAGCCGAAACGACATCAATTCTGCTTCATCGTGCTTGTATGATCATGTTTCTTTGGACGCCCAACTCACTTCAAGAAACCACATCCTTCAACACCAAACAGTATCAAGTGTGTGGCGATGTATTTTGGTGATAGGTTTTCGCAAGTTTGGCAGGTTCAATCAAACACATGTTTCCGACACGCTCGACCCGAACGCTTCATGGCAAGCCAAGAGGCGCACATTCATGGTCTTCTCGTGGGTCTAACACTCACATGGCATCCCCGCATTGATGTACTTGACTTCTATCGTTAGAACAACTTTCTCTGTGGTCAGCAAGACAGGTGTCAAAGTGGGAAAGTCTTACGTGCACCGCAAAGCTGAACCAGCTTGCCTTCCGCTCTGCGGAAACCATATCTTACTCAGGCTCCCGATGTAATCCAGTCTACATATGTTTACATTACCCCATTTACATTTGCTGAAACGGCGAGGGTCTCCAGCCATTTCAGCATTTCCTGAAGATCTGCAAGACGTCTGGCGCTTGGCGCAGCTGGTGCCTTTTGCGCATGACAGGTGCTTGGGGAAATTGCCGTCCGGCTGTGCATCTATCTAGGGATCTTTCGCTGGTCAGTGACTGCAAAGCTTGACCTGCTACCAGCAATCCGAACTCGCAGTACCGCCACGACACACCATCCAAAGCTCTAGTGATGCTGCTTCTTGCGAGCGAGTTTGGTTGACAGAACCTGTTAGAAATTTACAGCCCCAAGCCACCCTGTGTGTTGCCCAGTGTGCCTCACTCCAAGGTCCTGCACCGCGCACGACTTCACCCTTGGACGCTGGTTTATTGAGGAAGCCGTTTGGGGCTCCGCCTCTGTTGGGGCAGCTTTTGCAAGTCGGGTTTAAAGAAGCGACACGGGCATGGAAAGGCTGAACAAGGATTGTGAGCACCGGGCTTTCTCAAACTAAGTTAAGGATTTACTAATGGTATGTGTGCAGACCCAAACACTGGGGTCTGCGCTGTCATATCTTACGACACTGAGTTTGAAGCATCACTGCCCACTTCCTCGATTATTGAAGGTCAAGTAACCACCGTGATTCCCGATGGTGCTGGGAACTTTGCCCACAGAAGGGAGGCCACGGGCGCAGACAGCGAGATACCTTCCGAACATGGCTCGAAACCATCACAAACGATGTGCAGACCTTGTCGTTCCTGTCAAGCTCGTCATCCACCACAGTGGATCTGGCATGCCGCTAGTGTCCCAGCCATCAAACCCACGGACAGCTGATCACTGCATAACCATTATGAAAACCAACGGGGCAAACATCTTGCTATTCCGGATTAGGCATAAAAGCATTTGTTTTGCATTCCCGAAATGCGTTCTTAAAAAGATGTGTTCTTGAAGTGCATTCCCGAAATGCGTTCCTAACAAAAAGCGCTCCTGAAATGCATTCCCGAAAGTCGTTCCTAAAAAATGCGTGCACGAAATGCGTTCTTAATATAATGTGTTCCTGAAGCGCATTCCCGACATGCGTTCCTGAAACATGTCCGTTCCTGAAATGCAATACCGAAAGTATCTGTTCATGTCTTCCTTGGGAACATCTGCTCCTGAGATGTATTGCCTATCTGTCTACTCCGGGAAAGCATCTGCACCCGAAACGCGTTGCTGAACTGCGTTCCAGATGAAGTTTCATCAGTGTTTCAGCATTCTGCTGCGCAAGGCCTGTTGGCCAACGAGGGAGGGAGGGGGGAGGGAGAGAGCGAGAGCGACGCGGAAAAAGGCATGCAAACAAAATGCTTTTTGAAAACGCCGCAAATCCAGGAATGCAAAAAAAAAGCTTTTTGAAAACGCCTGAAATCCAGGAACGCTTTTTCGCGCACGGCCTGGGAATGCCAAAAAAATGTTTTTCACAGTGTAAAATGCATTTTTCCAGGCCCGCCTGAAAAACTTTTTTTGCATTTGTTTGAAAGGGCCCTCCTCCCCCTCCCTCTCCGGCCAGTCCCCCGTCTGCCATCCCCTCTCCGCCCTCCCCTCCACCCCCTTCCCTCTACCCTCCCCCCCCTCCCCTCCTCCCCCCTCTCCCCCCACCCCCCCTACTAATGCCTCACCCCACCCCCACCCCACCACCCCTTGTACCGGACACCGGGCCAGGAATAGAGTTCAATCCACTAACATGCGCACCAGGCATAAGGTTGCAGGCCACACGTTGGAAGCAGAAATCAGCTATGGATCTCGGAAACAGGAATGCATTCGAGAAGCGCTTTTCTCTAGAGACGTTTGTTTGGCGAATGCCGTTTTGAAACGCTTTTGTTTAGAAACGTTTTTTGCGAATGCTTTTTAGAAACGCCTTTTTTTTGGAAACGCTTTTTCAGAATGATTTTTAGAAACGCCTTTATTTAGAACAGCTTTTTGAGAATGCTTTTTTGTTGGAAAAGAATGCTTTTCTGCATGGCTGGCGTTTGCCGGCGTCGGTTTTCATAACATAACCACTGGAACCCTCACCCGTTACAGCAGCTTGTGGCAAAAATACTTCCGACAACTTGGCAGACTGATGCTTCGTCATTGCTTGTGTGTGCAGGAAGCTCTTGTGGGTCAACCTGCCAAGAGAAAGCTCAATGTGCCTTTCTGCCGCAGAGCGTGGGCAGTAGAAGCTGTGACCAAGGTCGCCATGAAGGCAGTCCCATGAAGCCTCAGCTGCTGCAGGGAGCGTGGTTCGGCAGTGAGCACCAAACAACGACACATGAGACCAACTGATTTCCAACGAGAATGCAACATGAACAATCATGCATCATGAAAAGACTGTGGTCAAGAATTGGGCACATCACCAAACATCTTGCATCTGAGCTGCGGAAAGGCATCAGTTGGATGAAGTGGCTGCCAGGAGGTGTAAGCGACGTGGCCTTGTGGCTGATATGATGGAACCGTCTGGAGGTCTGAGAGTCGGGGTTCGAGATCTCTGTGATTGCTGAGTGCGGAAATCTTAAGGCCATCGACCTCATCTGGCCGATCTGCGAATGATATGATATAACTAACTAGTTAACTAATGCTCTGCACACAAAGCCCAGCAGTTAGGATCTCCTGCGTCTTGGCGCAAATGAATATTGCGCCTGTGCTGATGCAAGTCTTGAACCAAGTTGGTGCCAGCGTAAACGCCAAACAATGACCACGCACCATGTAATCATGGCGTACAACCCCAAATACGCCGAACATACCAGGACAACCAAGACATGATCGGCGGAAGAGCCCAGAAAGCCTGGCACTGTGGCTCTGCTGGACTTGAAGGCACTTCGAGGGTTCCAGCCCCACGGCCAATGCAGGGCCTCGCTTCGCTTCGCAACTCTGCCAGGGCCCAGGCCGAAGGCCAAGTTGAGAATCGTGGAGCCATCGCGGCTCACTTTGGCAATTTGGATGCCTCCAGTTTCAGGACGAAGCGAGCTCCAAAAACGTCCACTGATCCGGTCCGCATCTTTTTACTTCGACCGGCATGGCAAAGGTGCCATCGACCAGGATGATCCCTCGTCCTGGCCGGGCATATGGAACACTTCAGCGTGAAGTACTTTCAAGCGCCATCAGGTCCTCGCAGGCACAGAGGGCGCGGCAGCCCGAAAACTGCCGGAATGGCGCCAGACAAGGGCCTTCGAGAGTCCAATTCCTCAGATTCTTGCGGCCTTTCCCATCGAACAACAGAAATGAAGCTTAAACTAGAAAACCCTTGCAAAGTGTCAGTCTGCTGCTACGACTCGATTGCAGCCATTTGCGCAACCGCCGCGCTTGTAGTGGTCGCACCTCGAAGCACTCCCGACATTCCCCTCTCCGGACCGGCTGTTAACTGCACTTCCTCACAGGACCGCTGTAGCATCCGCGATTGCCGAAGCGTCCACAAGGACTTGGGTCTTGTAGGCCCCGAGCTCCCCCGCGGCGCAAGTTGCAAAGAAGACTGCCGCAGCGCCTGCGCATGGCTTGTGCATCAGTGCTAGCCACTCGTACCTGCTTGTGCTATGTTGCCCCTGTCTCAGAGGACCAGAAGCTGCAAGTTGAGATGGAGTCGTCACGGTTTAGAAGACTGCTTACTCGAGCATCGAACATGAGGCAGCTGCACCAAAATGTATGCGTACAGTGAATATGCAGCAGCTACAGTTCCGTGTATTGCCGCCTCATGTGCACCATGCATTCGTTTCTTGCAAACGTTGCGACGAAGGAGGACACTGGACTCGACAATCCGGCAAACATTATTCAACTTAGGCTTGCAAACGCAGTGCCAGAGCAGGCAATTATCTTGCCAAGCTCAAGCTTTACCAATAAAGCATACGCCAAGGTCATGACAAGGCACAACGCATTGTAAATGGCCCGCCCGTGCATGTGCCTGGAGCAAAAGCGAAACCATTGTGCACAGAGTTTGCGACGTGTCTATCAAAATAACCTACAGAATTTCAATTTCAATGCGTGAGCTGGTCTGGAAACCTGGCAAGTGCATTCAAATCATTCACAGGGCCTCGAGCTGCAGAAGGAAATCTCTATGGCTGGACGACTAGGGTTCAAAGTGTTCGGACGACACCGGCAAGCCTTGAAAGCCCCATCATCGAGCTTGAAGTCCAGATGACTAGTCGTCTCCCACCGGCCCGAACACTAACTAATGTTGTAGATATACACATCTATACACCAAGAGGCAGATACAAATATTCATTCATTCATACCTACACCCTACATTCATAATTCTGAACATGACGTGTAGCGTCTACGTCTACATGGTGTACCAGCATGTATCGTACGACAAAGGCTGTGTTCGTCCCAGCTCCTCTCTCATCGAGGCACCGTTCGCCGCTTGAAGCACTGCTGCTGGCGAGCAATTCAAGGACTTGGCCAGGTGGTACCTTGGTGGCAAAGGCTATTGAGAATATCTGCACAAGACATATTGTGCGCAAGTTCACGCACATACATACATAGTATACACATATATACATGTGTATATATATATATACACGTACATATACATACATATATATATAGTTATGTATACATATACTATGTAAATGTAAATATGTGTATATATATATATACCTATACCTATGTACATATAATGTGTATATACATATACAGATGCTTATACATATATATATATATATAAGATTCGGCTTGCAAACAGATGAAACTTCGGATTACCGAGTGGACAGGCTGCCAAAGAAATAACGAGCCTCATCCGCCAAGGAGCTTGCCTAGCACTGCCAGCGCTGCGCAAGCCCAGCTGACCTAAGCGACCGACGTTTTCTGACCAAAGGACCAGCCTTCTATCCCTTGACTCCGAAGAAAGCCAGATCTTCCGCAGCAACCGATCACGGACAAACATTGGGTTGAACCTGTTGAACACCTCGGGACTGCCAAAGGATGAGGATTTCAACCTGGCGGACCAGTAGGCATCACGGCTTAAGGTTCAACGGCTAGGCCTCTCGGGGAATCGCGGTTTCAAGTTTCGGTTTCCAGTTCAACAGTGGTCCACATGTCCAAGATGCGGCAGCTCAGTTGACCGATTGCTTCTCGATGGAGGCTCCGCAAAGGGAGGCCCACGGCATGGAACATCCTGTCCGCCCACGATGCTGCTGCAATCATCTCATGAACTGCCACATGGCCCTTTTCGTGGCCGTCCCAAATCCTGCGACCTGTTCCACCCTGAAAGTACCGCTCAGCAAGGGACAAGTCCTCCGCACGACACGATTCCTGCCCTCGTCGATTTCCACCTCTGACAGGAAGCTGAAAGGTGTTGGTCGAAACGTCCATTCAACACGAATTTCTTGCAAACCTTGATTAAAGCAACAGCGCACTGTCGCGATTCCGAGTCTTGTCCGTAGCTTTGGTCATCCATGTCGTGTAATGCTGCACATTGCCCGAATATTCGACCGCTCCGGGTGCTAGACTGGCACATGCACGCTACGTCGAGCAAGGAGTTCGGGTGGCAAGTCGGCTGCAGGATTCCGGCTTCTAGTCGGTGTCTTACAGCTGCGAGTCTATGGACACAGAGACCCCTTCAAACACTGCCTTTAGTATCAATGCAGCCCTTACACACGCCTTGATCTTCACCTTCCTAGCCATCGGCGGCAGATCTGGCTGCTTGCAGTACGGTCCGCAGCTCACCAGCTCCTGGCTTGACACACACACACACACGCTTGTTGCGAGGTCGCCTACAGTTGCTATTGGGAGTTGTCCTCGCCCACGATCGCAGCGGCGAGAGCTCGGGCAGGCCGACCCTCCCCAATGTCAACGCCATCCTCACGAGCTCCAACCACAGAGGCTCTCATGTCTTCCGGGTGCATATTGCCCGCTCCTGGGTTTGCCCTCAATGCGGTGGTTCAAACCGACCAAAAGTGGCAGGCTCACATTGAGTCCTACTTGTATGCAGCTTCCAATCTTAGAATCAGCATCGCTGCCGTCCTCGAGCCGTCGGAGCTGCTCTTCTGTGGCAGATGGCTTATTCACCTCACGTTGTAGAATGGGTTCTGTTCCTCACATTGCTCCTTCAGCCACGACACCTACGCTCTACACCCGACGCGACAAGACTGCCACAATGGACTAGCCAGCCATTCGCAGCAAAGCTGCCGTTGCAATGTATGTTTTGCGAATGCCTTGGGGCGCCCGCAATATCCGGCTGACATCCCCATTGTCGGTAAGCAGAAGAAGCCCAGAAGTAGTCTTGTCGAGTCGACCGACATGTTGTGGCAGGCGATCAGTTGGCCAGTCCAGGTGAGGCAAGGACTCCAGGAATTGCTTCAAGTTGTTTGGCTCTTGTGGGGACATTGTCGTGATGACGCCTCGTGGCTTCCACAATGCAAGCAGTGGAGAGCGTGCCATTGATTTGTAAAGCCAGCCATCAGCCTGCGCCAGTACATCTGCCATGCTGCGACTCGCTTCCCAGTCATGTCCCAACTCCTCGGGTTTCGTCACATCCTCTGCAAACACATATTGCTGAAGCTCGTTGCTGTAGTGCCTTCGGCGAGGGAGGAGAAAACTCAGCGGTCGCGGAACTCCACTTACATCTGCTGCTTCCTCCAGCGACAGGCTTTGTCTAGCTAGTGCAGACTTTGGTGGCGCCGACCTTGCGGAGCGGTTGACCAGATCATGTGCTACGAAGCACCACAGGCGCATGCTCCACAATAAAGCCGGAGAGGCGCAAAACGCCAAAGCAACCCATCTACGGAAAGCCGAAGAAAGGCCAATGCACATTCCGTCCCGGCTGCGAGCCCGTTGCATCGACCCACAGATGCGTCACAAGGCGCCAACCGCGGGCGCAAAGTCGCCCAGCTCCAATTCCATCTTCGAATGCAAGTTCCCAAGGTGGCCAGGTCTACAGCCTACAAGTTCTTCACATCAACGGAACACCTACTCGTTTCAGCTGTACGTAAGACTAAGAACTAAAAGACATGAAAAACCCTGATGCCTGTCAAGAGTCTCAAACTGCACTTGTTTTTCCTTGAACGATGCTACTTCTCATGATGCACCCATATGAACAGAGCCGATGCTGCAGCCTTCTGAATCACATCAGTTCGACCACGACGCTCATCGGGAAACCTTGGACCTGTGCTTCCTACCTGGACATCTCGTGCGAAGTGTCAGCAGTGGTCCAGACGGAACCGAACTGTGCCATGAATTACGATGTACTTGTTCACGACTCAGTCGACTGACTTGAAGGGTGCTTCCGGTTCTTGCTTGTCATGGGCGAGACACATCTTTCAGCAAAGCAGTTGTTGAGTTGTCACAAAGATCTCCTGAAGGGGGTACGAAACTGATAGATCGTCACCACTGCAATGCTCACCAAAACCGCAACCTGGACAATTCATCCAATACCTGGCCTACGGCCCCGCTTTGCAGCGCTCGCTGCGCTTCGCGGGCGAGGCGTGCCTCGCGGAAGAAGCCACGGATTCCAGTGCTGAGACAAGCATAGGGCCCAGATGCTTGGAACCTGCTCCGACCCCTGTCAAGAAGAACTCTAAACATGGGAAGCTCTGATGGTTCCATCACTCGGCCTCTGCGTTGCTGTGCACGGCCAATGACGGGGCTGGTCGAGGGCGGGGTCCCGCAAGTACGCCGCGACTGACTTCGATGAAGATCTCGAGGAACCTGGAACGACGAATCGGAAAAACTTTGCTCCGCTACAAAAACAAACTTGCTCGAGAAAACCGCTGCAGCACTGTGGCTCTTCAGCCAGGGCACTGAGCTCGGATGTCCAACACTGTCGCCAAACCCTGGTGACGCCATGGCAATTCTTGCACCCTTGCATTGGGCACAACACTGACCGGGGAGCCTTGATCAGCGAGGCGACACGGAAGATAAAGAAAAAATCACCGGTGTAGCTGTCCACCTGGAGGACGATCCAAAATGGAAAATGCCGCTCTGGCAAAGCATTTGTTGATGCCATGTTCAGTTTTGCCATGCTGCTGGCCTTGGAGTGTAACCCCATTTTGTGGTATATTGCCTTCTCCATCGTCTGGCCGAATTTGGCCTCCATCCTGCACCACGGATTCATGCTCGGGTCGCTCCGAAGAACCACCTCTAAAGGCACGGCACTGCCTTGCCCCAGGCGAAACATTTTCCCACTCGCAATCCCCAGTGTCCGTGCCTCCTCGACTCTGTCTTGTGTTCGATCAAGCTGATGTGCCGCAGGATTGTCAAAAGGAGGTCGGGCTCCGGGTCCGCATGGGCAGAGAAATTCATTCCTGAATCATGAAAGCTTCGCAGCAAATTGCAAACCATGTCCGTCCGAATTCCTTTTCCTGGCCGTCCCGCCCCCCCCCCCCCACNNCCCCCCCCCCCCCCCCCCCACCGCCGCCAACAAAAACACACACAGACACACGCGCGCGCGCGCACATCATTTGCAACTACTCTCGCAGCTCGCTTGCGAGCATTGTACCATCCCAACTGGTTCTGCAGACAACGGCTTCCGGTTCAAGGTTTCGCTCGCAAATGTGCAGGTAAATCTCCCATCTCCCTGAAGGCTTCCACAATGCCATTGGTGTCCTGCACGCCACAGGCTGATGCAAAGAAGACTGGTTGCGCAAAGCTGGTTGGAGGGATATGCAACATCAGGCCGACAAATCACAAAGAACGTTTCGACTGGTTGAGCCATGCTGGGCCTGCCACGTCACTTGGATTCAGAATGTCGCAACTGCAAGAGAAGGTGGTTTTTCCCGTGTGGCACACTTTTGCCTCACTGTGTGCAATGGGTCCTTCATGCCCACGGCCACGATGAGCTTACCTCAAGGACATATGGGAACACAATGGACGGACGGACAAAACGACGGATGCGTGTATCTACTAATCTATGTATGTGAGCTGTGCACAAGCGGTACACCGGGTACGAACGATGTATATATGCAAGTATATGCATGCATGGAATATGCATGCTGCACGTGTGCTGGCACCCGCGTGCATACACACATACATACAGACAGACGCACAAACGGACACAGACCGACAGACAGACACAGACAGACAGACA